AGCGGTGGAGGAGGATAGTATGGTTTATTATGTCAAATGCAGAGAAAAGATCCAGTAGGATGAGAAAGTAGAGGGGTCCCTGGTCACAGAGAGAGAGGATGTCATTTGTGACATGGACAAGCGCCGTCTCTGTGCTATGGGCAGAGCAGAACCGGGAAATTGGAATTGAAAGGATTAGTTGAGGTACAGAGCAGCCAGGAGGAGCTTGAGGACAGAGTGGAGGGAGAGGTGTGAGCAAAGCTGGTTTGTGACAATGAGTTACACAGTTTTAGCAAGGAAGGACAGGTTGGAAATGGGTCTGTAATTTGTAAGGCTGGAGGGGTCAAGGTTCCAGGCAGGGCGAAACCTTGGGCAAGTTTCCTTACTCCACACGCCTAATAATAATCCCTCCAAAACCAAAAACAATAATAAATTGGTCATTTTCAATCTACGACTGTTTGTGGGACATTGCTGTGCGCAATTGGCTGTCGCGTTCGCCCACAAATATGCAGTCAATTCACTTTACAGTGTGTTCTGTGAAGCGCTTTGGGACGTCCTCCCGACGTGAAAAGCGCTATATCAAATGCAAGGATTATTTATTATTATAGGGATTTTGAGGATGGGAGTGATGACAGTAGTTTTACTATGTGTTGCAGGCAGATGGAGGGTTCGGTGTAGATGATCTGGGTGGGGGGAAGGGGACGTAGGGTAGGAGGATGCAGCCAAGAGCATATTGGTAGCATTCGAGGAAGTCGCAAGAAACGCAAGTTGGAGATGGAACAGTAGCTACTGGGATATGCTGAGGGAAAGAGATGATGGGCAGGGCATGGGAAGGTGGGTGAAGGAGCTGGTTTTAGGTGGATAAGAGGAGTCTGGGATAGTCCTTGGTTTCCAGGATGATCCTGGAGTAGAAGGACAATTTAGGTGTGGTGAGAGTGGTGTGGTAGGATTTGGTGGAGTCCAGCCCAATCTGACAGTGGACAGATAGGTTGGATAAAAGCCTGGTGCACTCAGAGGCACATACCTGTGATTTGAGAAATGGAGATGGCTGGTGCATTAGGGAAGAGGAGGCAATGCGGGAGATGACGGCAGCAAGGGAATAAAGAATGTTCGTGAGCCAATTTTGATGGAGGGTGACTAATGCAGTAAGGTCATGAAGGAAGGAGGGCCAGTGGGGCAGGAGCATGGACTGTGATGTGTAGTGACTGTACTTTTGTGGAGTCCTGTAGCTCAGTGGTTAGAGCACTCGCTTTGCAAGCGAGAGACCTGAGTTCATTTCCAGGCAGGGCGAAACCTTGGGCAAGTTTCCTTACTCCACACACAGCCCTAATAATAATCCCTCCAAAAAGCAAAACAATAATAAATTGGTCATTTTCAATCTACGACTGTTTGTGGGACATTGCTGCGCGCATTTGGCTGCCGCGTTCGCCCACAAATATACAGTCAATTCACTTTACAGTGTGTTCTGTGAAACGCTTTGGGACGTCTTCCCGACATGAAAAGCGCTATGTCAAATGCAAGGATTATTATTATTATTATTTTGTAGAAATGTGCTGTTTTCTGTAACTATCCATGGATCTAGCACTATTGGATATCTGGTGGCAGGTGGATTTATGTCCATCACCAGGATTTTGCTTATTTTTAGATCCACTTCATTATTCATTAAGGGAATATAGGAACAGGCAGAGTCCATTCAGCCCTTTGAGCCTGTTCCACCATTTAGTTAGATCATGGTTGATCTGTACCTCAACTAATCCTTTCAATTCCAATTTCTCGCTTTCTCTCCATATCCCTTAAAACCCTGACCTACCAAAAATCAATCAACCTCACTTTTGAAGGTGTGGGTGGATCCAGCATCCACGGCCTTTTGGGGAGAGAATTCCAGATTTCTACCACCCTTTGAGTGAAAAAAATGCTTCCTGATTTCACTCTTAAGTAGCCTGGTTCTAATTTTAAGATTAAATTTGTTTTGGATTGCCTCACCAGAAGAAATACCTTCTCTGTATCTACCCTGTTGAATCCCTTTATCATCTTAATTACCTCAATCAAATCACCCCCCAACCTTCTAAACTCAAAGGAATACAATCAAAGTTTACGCAGCCTTTCCTCGTAACTTAACCATTTAAGGCCTGGTAACATTCTGGTGAACCTGCGCTGCACCCCCTCCAGGGCCTACATATCTTTTCTGAGGTGTGGTGCCCAAAACTAAACATAGTACTCCAGATGGGGTCTGACTAACGCTGTATGCTGCTGAAACATCATTTCTTCCACTTTGTACTCCCGACCCCTTGAGATAAAAGCCAACATTCCATTCGCCTTTTTGACTACTTTTTGACCTGGGAACTAGTTTTTAGTGATTTGTGGATATGGACACCGAAATCTCTTTGCTCCTCCACAGCTCTTAATTTCTCCCCATTAAGAAAATATTCCCAATGGAGTTTGTGCTTGATCCTGTGATGGACTGTCCAACTAACCTCTTCCTATGTAAATTGTGTGGCATAATATTCCAATGTGATGCCAGCAGGAAATTCATGCTATTCAGGAACCCAAGTGGCTGGAGAATAGCTCAGGTAGAGCAAATGGCGTTTGTATTATTTCCACAATGAGACACATTTCTTCGGCCTTGATTTTGTTTGGAGTTCAACTCTTTGATTGTTGTTAATCCTTTATCACCAAGTCCCTCTCCCTGGGGTCTTTGATCCCCTCCTCTTCACCCTCTACAAGCTCCCCCTTGGTGACATCATCTGCAGACATGGGGTAAATTTCTATATGTATGTGGATGACACCCAACTCTATCTCTCTGCCTCCACCCTCAACTCCAGGACTACTGGCGTCCTGACAGACTGCCTGTCCGACATCAAATCCTGGATGAGGGGCAACTTTCTCCAACTGAACGTCAGCAAGAATGAGGCCCTCCTGATTGGTTCGAGCCAGCACCTCCGCACCTCAGGCGCTGGCAGCATCAGCCTCCACAGCTGCACACTCAACCTCACTAAGCCGGTCAGGAACTTGGGTGTCTTGTTTGATCCTGAACTGTCCTTTCTTCCCCACATCTGTGCCATGACTGGCACTGCCAACCACCACCTCCGCAACATTGCCAGACTCCATGACTCCCTCACCCCTCAGGCTGCCGAAACCCTCACCCACACATTTATCACATCAAAGCTCGATTATGGAAACTCCTTCGTCATCAGCTTTCTCAACTCTTCCCCTCACAAGCTGCAGATCATCCAAAACTCTGCAGCTCGTGTACTCTTGCACACCAGGCTCCGTGACCCCATCAATCCCACCCTTGCCTGACTCCACTGGCTTCCCATCCCCAGAGGATCGAATTCAAGATCCTCTTCCTCACTTTCAAGGCCATCCATGGCCTTGCCCCCTCCTACCTCTCTGATCTGCTGACTCCCCGCCAACCTGCCCATTCCCTACGTTCAGCGGGCTCCGGCCTGCTCCATGTCTCCCGCTCGACCCGCCCTACCATCGGTGGCCGGGCTTTCAGCCTCTCTGCCCCCACATTCTGGATCTCCATCCCACAGTCCTTTCGCCTCTCTTCCTCCCTTGCCTTCTTCAAGGCCGGCCTCAAGACCCTCCTCTTCAATTGTGCCTTTAGTTGCCCTCCCACCTCTCTTCCTTTACTCACCCCTACCCCACCCCTCCCCCATGCTCAGGTCCTGACCCCTGACTGTCTTGGGACATCCTTGGGAGGTCCTTCGAACGTGAAAGGCGCTCTATAAATGTAATTTTGCTGTTGTTGCTGTTTTCCTCAGCAGTGTTGAGCATTGCCACATTAAATAGGTAGCCCTACATCCTTATTTCTTACATGTATGTGTATTTCTCCACCATCTCCTCATACATGCACAGCTAGTGATGACATTGGATGTGAATGGTTGGAATCTGTCTTTCCCTCACTGGAAGTCCAAGATGGGTATGTAATAGTATCTATGGATGTACAGTAAATAGAATTACGTTCACCCACAAAGCACACTGTCACTCCACTTTACAGTATATCCTGTGAAGTGCTTTGAGATATCCTCTTGATGTGAAAGGTGTTGAACCAAATGTAAGGATTGTTATTTTTATGAACTATAATAACCATAAGAACTATAAATTCTATAGCACCCTTCATACACGGTAGCGTCACAGAGCATTTAATAATACTGCATCATGTCAACTTGTGAGGAAGAGGTTATTGGATAATTGTGAGTGTCATGATATAACTAACTGGAGGATCATCGAATGTTTTCTCTCTCTAAGATGCAAATTCCATTAAGGTCGTATTAATACCATATCAGTTATTCTGTTTTTGGATCTAATTATTTCGGTGTCTCGATTTTTTAAATTCCTGTCTTGAAGACCTTCAAAAAAAATTGTAAAAAATCTTTTTTTTTCTTTGCTTCCCACCAATAATCAAACATTGTCTTGTTTCTGATAGGTCAACCATCAACAATGTTGTTTTGCTTCGAAAACAAAAGGGTAACATTTTCAACCTTTAGCTTAATGGGTGGGGAAATGAACTTTCCCCCCTCCCCAAGATTCCACCAACTTCTCTTTGGAGATTTTTTTTCATTGCATAGGACAATAATAATAATCCTTGCATTTGATGTAGCGCTTTTCACGTCTTCTAGACGTCTCAAAACGCTTCACAGAATATACTGTAAAGTGAATTGACTGTATATTTTGTGGGTGAAACGCAGCAGCCAATTGTGCACAGCAGCGTCCCACAAACAGTCGTGGATTGAAGCGACCAATTTTGTATTATTGTTTTCTTTTCTCCAGGGATTATTATTGGATGGGGTACCCATCCCTCAATAAGACGCCACATATTGAATTTGCCTGGTACTGTGAAAAGCCCACAAGCCTGAATGATATATTTTGCCGGCCTACGCTTTTTTATAAGAAAAAATAAATGCTGCAGAGAAGAAACCCGATTCCAAAAATAAACTTGTCTATTTTTAGCCAGGGTAGGGAGGCAGGCAACCAGCCAGGCATCCACTCACAGGTTGTCCATGACTGGAGCTGTCTCTTTAAGAGGAATCTGACGTCAGGTTGGGTCCGGATATCCTGGCTTTGCAGAGAGTAATTTAATCCTGAGCTGAGATGAAAAAGATCTGAGAGGCAAAGAGAGAGAGAGAGAGAGAGAAGCAGGAACCATCCTAACAGCAGCAAAGCAGCAGAGCAAGAGAGAGAGAGAGAGAGTGCAAGCTCAGAGCTGTCACCTCACCCAACACATCAGCTGCACCACAGCTCTTCATCAGAGACGCACAGAGGTAGAGAGGGACCATGTCTGTAGCAGGACTGAAGAAACAATTCCACAAAGCCACACAGGTGGGTTGTTTTTGTTCATCTGCGTCTCCTCTGCTTGTGGGTAGCATTGCACAGTTGGCTCCGGGAATGCCTTTGCATACTGATAGGCTCTGCGTCCAATTGCACCATCGCTGCTGCTGTGGTTTTCACCCTTTTTTTTTGCAACAGCGAGTGACTCAATACGTATCAGCAACTTGGGGCTGAATGCATTGGGGGTGGTGTTTTTTTTAAAAAAAAATAATAATAATAAATGCAAATAGATTAGCTACCGGTCTAACATCGTAACGGGAGTGTGTGAGGGGGTGTTTCGGTGTGAGGTTGATCAGCTGCACAGCTCCTTCAACGCAGTTGCCACGTTTCGCAGGATTGGGGCTGCGTTACAGTCAACACTGATGTGTCTGCATCTGGGCTGCAGCTGCTGTGCGTTAACCACAGGGTTTTGGTCCCATTTGCACACAATCTCCTTCGTCGCAAAAAATCCCGATTTTGCACAACGGTCCATCTGAGGAGCTCTTGAGATTTATTTCAACGTCAAGCAATTCCCACCCGTGGGGGGGGGGGGGGGGCTGTTTCGTGGCTGGATTTTGCAATTGGGTTGTCAAACCGCAGGGGTGTGTGTGTGTGTGTGTGTGTGTGTGAGTGTGTATTTTGGTGCACCCTTGAAATGACATTCTGTTTGGGTGTAAAATAATTGTCTTGTGATTCCCGGGGAGTCGCTGTTTCTCTCCCTGTGAGATGCAAACAGCTGCAATTTATTATTGATGGGGTTTGTAATGATCTGCTCTCCACTGTGTGGGTTCCTCCTGACAAACTCAGTGTGTTTGATAACAGTTGTCCTCTGCCCCAGCCTGAGGCTGCCTCCTCTGGGTGGCCAACTGCACCCCAGGATAGTCCCAGGGAATAGGTGATGCGATGGGATTACTGTCGGTTGTGCTCAATCTGCTGCTGTTGCGCCTCAGTGACTGACCTTTTTTGCCATTGAGTGTTTGCGCCACTTGTTCACAGTGCAATGTCCTATAATCATATCCCATCTGCAGCAAAGGATGGATCCCCATCGCGCCCTTCGGAAAAAAGGATTGTGTTTGTTCAATGGTGGGGATAACATCACTGCTACTTTGTGACATCAATGCACATCAACTATTTATAGCAATTGAAATCTCAGCGTTAGGTTTCTTAAATTGCATAACAGGCTGCATTAAATGAATCTGACTGTTCCAGAAAATTACAGTTAAATGTGACCCCCCACCCCCACCCCCATCCCAACACCCAATTTGCCTTCAAGTAGTCACTGCACTTGAAAATAAATCTTAAGAAGCACATTGAGACTTCTCAGTGACATGTTATGGCGAAACGCTGTAGAAAATTGGAAGAATTATTATCTAATTGCGTGATTATAATTTCTGCCAGAATTTCAATATGTGTGCAGTAACATCCACGCCTGTTAAGATCTAGCCCTGGAACTAGGGTTTTCTGAGTTGTCGTTTTATTAGGATCTGTGGAGCACTTCACATTTTCAAGATTGATTGTAAAATTAGTTTTTTTAAAAAAACGATGATCTCGAAATGGCTGCCCCAAGGATTTATTACGACATTAAGTGAGATGGATACAAACGTTTACAAATTCGATTTGACCAGGACATGTCGTGGGTTCCAGTGGGGCTGACACATGGGTTTGCTGTCATCACTTGTCAAACTAGAGGTATAGCAACAACAGAAGAAAAATACATTCAAACATATTGACATTGAATCAGATATAATTATGGGTTTGGATGCGGGTATCCTTTAAGGATCTGGAGAGGAAAGGAAAATGTGGGAAATAAATTGTGTTTAACTAATGTTACTCGCAGTGGCTTAGAGTTGGGACAACCCTGGACCTCTGAGATTGACCTTGCAGCCTATTAGCTTGCTTTGCATTCTGGATGGAAGAAGAAAATATAGAATCACATTTTACATTCTAAACTGATTAGGTATTCTGACTATAATTAGCAAAAGACTGCTCTGTACAATGTTTGGGTAAGAGTGGGTGGGTTACTTGTGTATCCAGAGCATCATCTTGAAGGTGCCTTTGTTGATCAAGGTGATGTTTATTTTCAAGTGTCCATTATGCTTTCTGCAGAGTGAAGACAATCTTTAGGGAAATTGCTTGTTATAAATGCTGGGAAAAGTGAATTGGATAAACATTTGAAGAGGAATAGTATAAAATGCATAGGAAAGAGCAAGGAAAGGGGATTAAACCACTGCAGTTGTCCCTAGTTGGGGAAGCTAGCACTAGTCTCGTCTGGATGCTCTCCAGTTTCTAACATTCCATATCCTTTTTATGATGCAGTTTTTAGTGTTGTGTGATTTTGTGCTGGCTGAGCATATAACATTTGCTAAATTAATCCCTGTAATGCGTATTCCCAATCCTCTATCTTATCTTTCTGGTGAATATACAATTTACATTCATACAGCACCTCTCAATATGTGGACAAGGCGAGCCAAGGAGACAGATTGTGACAGCAAATTAAAGAGGAGATAGCTATTTAGTGTATTATAAAATCCATTGAGGGGATTCATTGAGGGGATTTGATTGTACAGCACCTTGGGATGTCCTCCCCACATGAAAGGCGTTATACAAATGTACTTTGTTGTTGTATGAGAGATGGAATGTAGGATTTTGTTTTACTCTGGGACCAGTCAGATGGACCACAATGATCTTTTGCTGCCCAGTACATTCCTATGTAACCAATGGAACTTCTTTAATCCTACACAATACTACACACCATCCTGGTTCTGGCAAAATGAATATGGGTAAATGCCTCTTCAGAGTGTTTAGCGAATGAGTGCACAGACTCCAGTATCAGACACTGGAAAACACTCTTCCTCTATCCCTCCACCTTGCCCCTTCTTTCCCATCTTTAGATCGTGCCTTGAACTATTGACCGTGCCCACGGTCACCTCAGCGTCGTGCTCGGCCACTATCAAGCACTCTGGGATCTATCCTGTGTGAGGGGTTCTATATAAATGCAAGTAGTTGTTGCTGTTGTACCAGGCTCCTGTCTACACCTGATCACTTCCCATTCTTTCTAAAATCTGTTCTGCTTCATCGTGTGCTCTAACAGTTACCATGTTTGTAAGTGAGAGACTTATTTTACTGGGGAGAGAGTAAGTAGCATGGTTTGCAGGATTACGCCCAACGTACATGGACTTCCACGCACAAGCAAACCTTGTGAAACAGCACAATGATTGTTATTAAGCACACATGTGAAAGCACAATAACGCTTTCTTTCTGAACCTGTCCAAGAAGCATTTTGGACAAGATGTGGACTTTGCAAGCTTCTGTTATAAATCGATTCAGTCATTGAAGAGTCATTGAAATACAAAGCCTTTGAGTAGCTGTTGCTTGCTTGATGATAGCGTGCAGGAAACAGAGGAAACAAATCTTTGATACTTAGATTTAGTGAACAACAGTTTTATCTTCATTTGAAAGTGTTGAGGGGCAATATTATGATTTTTGGGGGGAGTGATTGAAATACTGCTGCAATAGTTAACATGTCACTCAGAGATTCTTCATGAATTTTAAAAGTACCGCTCCTGTTTTGACACTCTTCCTTACAGTTTTAATGCCTGACACGCACATTACTATACAATCCAGGTGAATCCAGTTAGAGTTTAAAGAGTTGACAAGAAGATGAACTGTTTCACGGACTGTCTGCCTGAATTTCCAAACTTATTTTTTTTGTGGAGACAGTGGACATTGGGAGTCGAAGTGAGAAAATATCTTGTGTAAATTCATGTTGCCGTGAAGCAGGAGACAAGTTCCCGTTTTGCAACATGTACAAATTGTGCATTTTCCTTTCAAAACAGCACATTAGATTTTCACCGTTGAAGGCTGATCTATTGTGACCAAACTTGAAATGTTTGCTAGGACATTGTCAGTTGTGTTTCACTAATTATCACTGGTGAAAATGAGCAGATTGTTGAAAAATGCTCACGGTTAATAGTAGTCAATAACAGCCATTGAACTGCATACTGAGTGTGTCATGTGAGTGCTTCTTTACAGGATACCATCTTAACAATATTTTATTTTGTTGAGTGAAGTAACTTTCGCACTCCAATGCCAGTAATTCTAATTGCTTTACCCAATCAGTTTTGTCCCAATTGGTTTTGGTCCCAATCACAGTAAGAGAGGTGGCAGGTGGTCACCTCCGCAATCAGTCTTTCATGTTATATCATTCACATCCACACCAATCCACGATTGGACACCCAGGAAGGGTCTGCGCTAGCTCTAAACAATGATTTTTGCTGACCAGTCAGGAAATTCTCCTCAAGGTCACTGATATTGCCCACTTCTGCCCCTACCTCACACCAAATGCTGCTGAAACACTTATCCACATTTAATCACTTCCCGCATTGGCTTCTCTAATGCACTCCTTGCTGGTCTCCCCAGTTCTACCATTCACAAGATCCAGCTGATCCAAACATCACCCGCATCAAACTCGACACACCTATCAACCCAGTCTTCACCAGGCTCCAGTGACTCACTCTCTCTGTACAGATCAATTTCAAGATCTTCACACTGCAGTGTTACGTGGACATCAGACACAATCACACTGAAGTCAGAGCTCCTATAGGATTCAGAATTTGATGCTTTGGGTTCATTTTATTTTGTTTTTGCTTTGCGCTCTTTCAGTGTTGCTTCACTTTATAAGGAGTGCATTGAAATTCTGCTGCCACCAGCCAGAATATTCCTTTTTGCTTGGACTATGGTGAATGAATCTCTTTGTATGCAGGTCTAGGAAGCAATGGATAATTGCCTCAGATTCTTTTAGGATTTACTAATGCTCAAATATAAATTCAGGGAAAAAACTCCTTGCCAACTTCCTCCCTTTCACCCTCCTTTCTTGATGGTGTTTAGATTCCTATTTATTTTCTTCCTGATGAATGGTGCTTAGGTATCTGTCATTACCGCAACAAGTGGCAGAGTTTTGACAATGAATTGACCAAGTTGTTTGACCATGAATGCCTCCTAACTTCTTAACC